AATCTCGTGAAATTCATTTTCTTGGAGCTTACATTTTAAGCCGATTTATTATTTCACAGCTGGGTTAATTTCAGCCTAAACTGCCAACTTTTATCAAAATCAGCATTGTATTCAATACACATCTCTCCTAGAAAGAGATTTGAAAAAAATAAAAACTCCTTCCTCTCAGCTTGGATTAAAGCTTTCCCACCATATAGCAACAAATAATTGCAGTCTGAGTTTTGAACTTGGGTTATGAAATGAAAGGCTGGGGCACCTGGGTGGCTCAGTTGGCTAAGTGTTGGACTTCAGCTCAGGTCACAATCTTGCCTTTCGTGAGTTTGAGCCCTGCATCAGGCTCTGCACTGCAGAGCCTGCTTGGGATTCTCTCTCCCTCTCTCTCTGTCCTTCCCCCGCTCTCTCTCTCTCTCAAAAAAAGGTTACAAAAAAATGAAAGGCAATGAAACTGATGTTAGGGGCCATTTCCCCTGGGACCACCATAACTGGATTCCATTTGTAATTCCCACTATGGAAAAAAACACTTCCATCCTCTAGAAAATGAAACAAAAACTTGCATGATATTCCATGACCTTCTTTCCCTGGTAATCCTTCTGATCAAAAGATCCTTCAGCCAACCTATCTTCAGCCCAGTGAGTAAGAGCTGAAACCTCTATGCAGAATTATCGGAACAATGGTTGAAGGGAGGTGTGGGAGGGAGCAATGATAAAGTCAGCCATCCCAATCTTTTAAAACAATTTTTTTAATGTTTTATTTATTTTTGAGAGAGAGACACAGAGACAGAGTATGAGCAGGGGATGGGCAGAGAGAGAGGGAGACACAGAATCCGAAGCAGGCTCCAGGCTCTGAGCTGTCAGCACAGAGCCTGACGCGGGGCTCAAACCCATGAACCACCGGATCATGACCTGAGCTGAAGTCAGATGCTTAACCAACCAACTGAGCCGCCTAGGTGCCCCAAGGCAGCCATCACAATCCTAAAATGATCCAGAAACTTGGTGTAATCATCCATCGTCCTCTCCTCCATCATCTTTCTCTGCTCTAACACAGGCCCTTGCCACTGTCTTTACACTACACACACACACACACACACACACACACACACACACACACTGACAGCTCTGAGCTGTCCTTTCCCTGCCCTTTCCTGTGGGGGAGTCAGTGAGTGATGAAAAGAGGGAAACCTGGAGCCTGGCCCTACCCCACGCCCATAAACGACCCCAGAAATTAGATCACCGAAAATTCTTGACCACAGTAGTCTACACTACAATATCCTCTTGCGGAATGTTTCCTAGTGGATCAAAAGCAATAGCTGAGTGCTCCCACTGATCAACTCTTGGTAATTTGAGCATCAAAATTATTAAGGACAGCAATGAACTATTGAAAAAATAGGAAGCCCTAAGTCCACAGCGATACGAAGTAGATAAAGAAGTAACGTGGGAGAAGGGAATGCCCTCACTTACTATGTGCTGACCAGTAAAAATGAAGGGAGTGCTCGAGTTGGAAAATCGTCATTTTGCAGATTGGTTCAGGCAAGAATTATCAATAGATACTAAATCTAGGGGGGAATTTTTGAGGAGCAGTAGGATATGTGCATGAACTTATGGTTTCCCCCCACAGATTATTAGTAGCAAAGAAGGGGGAAAAAGCCCCAGTAATTATATAGTGGAGAAAGTGGGCAACACCTTGACCTAAAATGAAAATAATCGATTTTTTTAAGATTTTTGTCTCATTTAAAGTTTATTTATTTTGAGAAAGAGAGAGAGAGAGAGAGAGAGCAAGCAGGAAAGGGGCAGAGAAAGGGAGAGACAGAATCCCAAGCAGGCTCTGTGCTAACAGCCTGATTGCGGGGCTTGAATTCACAAACCATCAGATCATGACATGAGCCAAAACCAAGAGTCAGACACTTAACTGACTGAGCCACCCAGGTGCCTCAAGTGTGTGGATATACTTTATAGTATTCTCATAACTTAATTCCAAAATTAAATGTTTGAAAAGTGCAATAACTCCCTACATTGTTGGAAAATCTCAATCTAGCTACCTCTTAATTACTTTTTATTGTGTGTCCAACTTTACTGGGCTCTCTGAAGCGCTATAAATGATGTTCCTACCCTTAGGAAGCTTAACATCTCTTGGGGAGGGATGTCTCTGAAACAGGAGGCAGCAAAGATAAAAGTTCAGCTAGGAAGTTTGAAAATGGAGAAGAGATCAGGATACGTGGATGGGGTCAAGAAGGACGTCAAGGAGAAGGTAGACAAAGTCACCAAATAGTTTCTGTAACTCCAGGAGAGGCCTGTGCAGACTGAGGGACTAGAATGAAGACTGGGTATCAGGAAGGATTGAAGCATCTGGTTGAGTAGATGAGATGCGGCTAGCCTGTAAGTTCCTCAAAAGCAGAATCTAACTGGATCTCATGCAAAAGTATCCCCCATAGCATAGGGCACTGGGCCGAACCCACAGAAGGTGTTCAGTATATCCTTATTGTTAGATTGAGCACAAGTAATTTAAGCCCAAACCCAAAATAAGGAGTTTGGCCCCAAGTCTATACATAACAGATAGACATATACTTTTTTACAGGTGTTGAGCCCAGGGCAGGGACTTTCTAAAGCCCAAGCCAAACAAGCTAGGAGGTGGTGCAGGATCTGGAGAGACACCAGTGTAAGGTAGGACCAGGCAGCAAAACCACCGTGAGGTACCACTGTTCTGATACAGAACTCTTTCAAGGGGTACCCACATTTGAAAAGAGTGGCTTTGCAAGAAAGCTGTGCTTGTGGCAAAGAGAGGAGTCTCCCTAAGTGGGGGCATTTCAGATAGCAGAGGGTACTGCTTAATCTCAGGGTTTACAACTGGAGCCCTGGTTGCTAGGTCTTTGTTGAGGGTTCCAGGGGCCCAGCTCTCTCCCTAGAAGCAGTTGGCATTGTCACCTGCTCAGCAATGCCCCAGGAGCACGCCCTCATGGACACAGCAGGCCCCTGGCCCCACCGATGCTCCAGCAAAACTGTATGCACATTTTAGTTAAACCCATCCCCCACGCCCACCCACCCCCACCCCCCACTACCTTGCATTAAGTGTTCAGCCGTTTGTCTTTATTTCTGATTTCTCTCGACTGGCCAGTTACTTCTAATGCCTTTGGGTTCGTTGGTGCATCATTAAGCACTAAAATGCATTAGAGGTGGGGTCGGCAAACTACAGCTCACAGGCCCAAACTGGTCCCACCGCCTGCATTTGAAAGGCCCTCATGCTAAGAATGGTTTTTACATTTTTGGATGGTTGGACAAAATCAACAGCAATAATTCAGGACATGGGAAAATGAAATTCGCGCGTGAATTTTTATTTTTTTTTAATGTTTCTTTATTTTTGAGAGAGAGACAGAGACAGAGTATGAGCTGGGAAGGGGCAGAGAGAGAGAGGGAGACACAGAATCTGAAGCAGGCTCCAGGCTCAGCACAGAGCCTGACGCAGGGCTCAAACTCACAGACCGCAAAATGATGACCTGAGCCAAAGTCAGACGCTCAACCAACTGAGCCACCCAGGCGCCCCTCACGCGTGAATTTTAAATTTCAGTATCTATAAGTAAAGTCTTCTTGGCACCCAGCCTATGCTCAGTCCTTTTACATAGTTATCTATGGCTGCTTTTGTGTTTGTGCTATAGTAACAGTTGAACAGGTTGCAGAGGCCACATTGCCTGCAAAGCCTAAAATAACTTACCAGCTGGTCCTTTATAGAAAAAGTTTGCTGACCCCTGGCTTACAACAATGGTTCTCAATATGGGACGATTTGGCCCCCCAGGAGGCATTTGACAACATCAGGAGACATTTTTGGTTATCACAACTTGGGGGGAGAGGTGGGTGCTACCGACTTCTAGTAGGTAGGGACGCTGCTAAACAGGCTACAATGCACAGGGCAGCCCCTAGGACACAGAAGTCTCTGCCCTCAAAAGTCAATAGTGCTGAGGTTGAGAAACCCTAGATTAGAGGAACCTAAAGTACTCCAAGTAAAGGGAAAACTCCATCCTTAATAAGGGCTGTGGCTTATGGAACAAACAGGTCGTTAAGTTACATTAGCTCACGTAGCTTTCACAATCACCAAGCAAGGGAATTACTTATATTCTCCTTTTACAGAGAAGTTTTTAACCCAACTTGCCCCGGAGCACACACGGAGAGCAAGGGTGCTTGGCTCCAGAGCCTGTATTTTTCCACACCTAAGTGCCCGCCCCTGCTCAGTGACGTCATAAGCTAGTTTTTCTCTCTCTCTCTCTCCCTCTCTCCCTCTCTCCCTCTCTCTCTCTCGACTGCCCCCTAGTGTGTGAGCTGCGCAGACGCAGGCCAGTGTCGTTTCCTCCGGTACAGAGAGAGAGGACAGGGACCACGCTAGGGTCTCCCGCATCTGACCAATAGGAAAATGAAGCCGAGGAAAAGAAAACCCTACCTCGACTGCAACCGGAATTGTCGAAAACTGACCGTCCTCCCCTCTTGTCTACTTTAATGCTGGGGACAACAGAAGGCTTCCCTCCCTGGTAGACCCAGGACATAAAGTCCTACTTGCTATCTATAGAATGCTTTTCCAGTCATAAAGAACAGTCATGTTCATGAATTTTCGGGATGCTCACATCACAGGGTTACATGAAAGAAAACATGCGGCGCAGAGTTCTGAATTTGCTTCAGGAATCAAAACTCATCCCAGAATCTTGGGAGGATCTGGCACTTCATTTCCAAGACACCTTTTATCCTGGAGGATAATCAGCTCAATGCAGCAGTTAAATCCACGCTAATGAAGGAAAAGTAGAGGACTTCCTGCCCCACCCCCACCCCCACCCCGCCCCGTGGGAATTTCAGGCCTAAATGGGGAGGAGGGGCACAGCAGGGCCCACCTCCTAAGATTGCACACGGGCTCACCTCCCTGAGCCCCTTAAGTCATCCACTTGGAAGGCAGCCACCCACCCCGCCCAGGGCAAACCGTGGTGGAACGCATCCCTTAAGGATTTAAGATCAGATCACACAGCCATCGAGCATTTCTTTGAATTTTATTGAAAATTGACATGGACATTAGAAAGGTACCAAGCTAAACAGTGCTGGTTTCGGGAGGTTTCTCCTGGCGAATGAAAGCCCCAGAGGGGCAGTGACTGGTCACACTCTTGAGAAAAAAAAAAAAAAAAAAAGGGAACGAAGGAGAAGAAAGGAAAAACAAACAGATTCTGGAAAACATGCAAAGAGGCTCTCTCAGGAGACCCTGGACAGCGGAATGGCGATGGTGGTAGGGCTATACCGGAATAAGCACACTCACATACATGGTATTTTGATGCAAGTTAAACCAATGAATTCAAGGCAGATTTCTCAACATCAAAGCTCTCCTTGCAGAACCCGGGTTGGACGGAACCCTCTCTCAAAACCCCGACTGGCCTTGGAGGGTTGAATGAAGTCATTTTGCTCTAAGTTTAAACCCGCCTCCTGTCTCTCCCTTCCCCACCTGAGCGTTAGTGGATCCACTTCCCCCCTTGCTGGGAGGGGAGGTCTGCAGAAGGTCTGCGAATGCTGAAGAGAGGACTGTCGCGTGGCTTTCTCTTCCGTATTCAAAGATGTTTAATAGTGGCCTTAGACAGTCAACCCATCGAACCGGAGAATTGGCATTTAAAGAGGAAAAACAGAAAACTTGTGAACAGCACATCCACACCCACAGCTGAGGTCTCCGGCCCCAGTCACTTACACTTGGGTGAGTCGTCTGCAGTTGTCTCTCTGAGGTCACATTTGGTCCATTCTCCAGCTCTGAAGGTTCTTTTCCTGCCTTGTTATGTTAGGATATTTCCATTTAAAATACCAAGTCAGGAGAGAGCTTCTTGCCTGGACACAGGGACACATGAACACTTGTGGAGTGTGCAGTGTGTGTGTGCGCGCGCAGTTTGAGGGGAGAGGGGGTTGGTTGGTTTCTGGTTTGAGACAATATGGAACCCTAACTCTTCTATAATGGCAGTCTTCTCCTTTAGACTTAGTGCAGCTGCTGGAGACAAGATTAAAAAAAGCTAGAGAGGGAGAGAGAAAAGAGAAAGAAAACACGAAATTAGCCGAAGAAAAAGGACATCCAAAGTAAGACAAGGCAAGGGGAGTGGGCAGTGCGAGGTAGCAGAGATTATACTTGGAGAAGACAGGTTAGAGATGGGGACACTGATAGACGGCAAACACTGGGAAATCTGCCGAGAAGGTTTTTAAGAACACCACACACCAGTTTAAAGCTTCTTGTTTTAATTAAAAACAGCCACATGTGAATGCCAAATGATTAAAACCAAAACCAAAACCAAAAGTGATCTGCACGTCACGTAGGAAAAGCAAACTTCTCGGCTTAAGAGAAATGAGGGTGTGTGTGTGTGTGCGCGTGTGTGTTTGTGTGTTTGATCGTGATCGTGATCACGTGGGGATTTTCCAGGAAAGCTCGGACCATTCCTAAGGACTGGTTTTGTTTCACCTGAAGTTAACAGAGTATTTTAGGGTACTTAAGAAAAACAATAACCATTGTACTAATTTAATAGCCTTTTCACTGCAGAAGGAAAAAAGAAACCCCTTTCTGTCTGCAGTGAGAAAAGCTACCCAGTAAAATAACTATTTTAACCCTTTTAATCGGCTTTCTAAAGGCCTCATGTTCACTCCCAGGTTAGATTTATTTACCAAACTTCCTTGATTACGAGGATCATCTAGGGCACCTGGTAAACATCCGCAGGCCTGGGCCCCACTCCAGACTTCCAGGAAAGCCGACCAGCCAACAGGCACCGTCAGCAGAAACACTCAGTTCAGGAGCTGGCCTGGTCCGCTGCTTTGCCCGCCCCTACCCACTCCATCCTCAGATGTTTTTCTCTGGGGGGGAAAAAACCCTTCAAAGGCCCTGTAATGCTAACTATTCATTTTCGCCGAACATCAAAAGACCTGGGTCTCCAGGAACCTATAGGAACAGGTTGAATCCAGTTGTGAAACGGATCGGGAGTCAGGACACACTGAATGTCGCCTGGCTTCTGCTGTGAAACAGAACTGGGACATCTGGCAAGTCCCTGGACTTCTCTGGGCCTCAATTGCCCCTACCCGGGAGGGGCGGGCGAAGCGGGTCATTATCTGTTTAATGGACCGAAATTTCTCCCTCGAGGCGAAATTTCTGCCTATTCCCTGAAGTCCTCCCAAAGGCTGGGTGGGCTACTACTTTTGAAGTTTTCGGAACTCCTCAGGTCTCAAGTAGTTAATCCGTAAACAAATGTAAATGAGGGGGCCTCCGATTTGTAATGCAAATAATAACCCAGAATAATGGGGGTCCACTGGTTGTTTAAGTCTGAGGTTCTCGGGAAATAACCGTAAAACCGGACACGGAGACATCAAAGCTGCAAATAAGATGCCTTTCCCATGGAGACTTGACAGCTTTAACGTAGCATCTCTCTGAGCTACTGGCTGAGGATCCACGTTTTTGTGTGTTTTATACTGTTTTGAACCTCCAAGCACGGGGTCTCCAAACATGCTCCACGACGAGACTTTCTAAAGGCCCTTTCTAGTTTCTCAAGAAACTAGCCTATATTTCATACTCGCCTCTGGTCACTAACCAATCAGGGACTCACCAAACAATACACAGCAAAACTGCGCGCTTGTTCTGCCAGCAAGAAAATGTCAAGTGTGTGTGTGTGTGTGTGTGTGTGTGTGTGTTTGTTTTTTCTACTTTTCGCTTCCTACCATGGAAGAGAGGAAACCCCCTCCCCATTCTCAACACTGCAAAAAGCCCGGAAAATTTGGCATAGCCTGGTTTAACTGTGTGTTTTTGAAGAAGAAGGGAAAAAAAGGCGATAAGGAAAAAAA